GTTAGAAAACAACTTTATCTGTACATTTAAATAATTAAATTAAATTAAAAAATGTGCGTACTTTTATTTTTAAAACGTGTTAATGAAAATAATTATTTATATTTAAATTATTTATAATATTAAAATTGCTTAAATTTTTAACACTATTAACTATTAGTTTCAATATTAAAAGATATTAATAATTTTAATATTATTAATATTGATTTTATTTTATAAAAAAATATTGTTCAGAGAACACTTCTCTTCATTGTGTCAGAAAGACTGAGATTGCTTTTTGATTGACTACTGTTATTAGTTAAATCGTATTGCAATTAATAAATTATTTGAAAATTAAAATGGATTAGGTACTAATAATGTAATAATTTTACCATGCAAATTGCACGTAATTTAAAATTTAATTCACTCTTTGAACAAAATAAAATCTTGTCACCGTTTGGCGCTATTTATGTTCTTTTAACTCTTCATGCCCTCATTAAGAATAATTTTCCTGACGAGACCAGCATAATTTAAATCCTCGCCACAATGTGCAGTGCAGTTAAAAGCGTTCCAGCGTCATGTCGTTTTTGCTCAGACCAGTGGATGGAGGCTGGAGAGACATAAAAGCGTGCAATTAGGGTGAGAAATTAGTCAAAGTTTGGGCTGAAAGGGCAGTTTAGTGAGTGACGAATTAAAGAAACGAGCCTTGAAGACGGTGATAAATCTTGACCCAGCTAGCATGGCAGGGTAATGAAAGCCTAGATTTACAAATTGCGCGTCTCTTTCTAGCCGTGCCCCTGTTTGCGCGCAAACGTTATTCGAGTCGAGGAGAAAAGGAAGACGTATAAAAGTTTTACATTTCATTGCAGCTCTTTTTTCCTCATTACTGCTTTTTTTCCGCACACTTGTGTAATGACGCGCGTCCATGAAGAGGCGGCCGCGTTTTTATATTCACCGAAAAACTATTATCTGTGTCTGAACGCGCCGGGACTAACGCGAGAGTAAAAAAGGGTAATTTTACAACTTGTTTATTGCTCCTTCCAGAGCGCCAATTTGGAATCGATTTAGGCAAATTGCTTCTCTGCGTGACGCACACACGCACCGAGCAGCTCCGCTCCGTCGCGCCTCTGCCGCTTTAAAGATAAGATCTTTGTTCTCTCGTGCGAATTTCAAACGGCATTGTTGCGAAAATGATTTATATAAAACGATATTTCATGCCTATTGTGACAACTCTCTGTTGAGGCGTTGAAATGTGTATTTGTCTGCTGCTTGCCAGGAATTTATCACTTCCGCCCTCCGACTTCAAGAGAACAAAACTTTTTATTTACTTCGTTTGGTTGAGAAAAGAAAAATTCCATGGTTTAAAAAAAAAAAGTTGGAAAGCAATTGATACGTTAATGGAAAATTTTAATTTAATTTTTATTTTCTTTTTTTTTAAATAAATTTTAATTTATCAAATAGAAAGGGTTAAAAAAATATAAGCGTTAATCATAATCTAATTAACGTGCAAAATTGATTTTGATTTCACATGATTGAAGCATAACCAAACTTTTCAGTCTTGAACAAGAATTTAATTTGAAAACTCCTCCATCGTTTCTTTTTCAAATACAGATTAGGGAGGATCGTTTATCTCAACGACCGTTTCAACTTGCGAAACAATTCAATTTGATGCGCCTCTGCTTCCGTTTGCAATATTAGCATTTTCTACGCAGTGCGTTGGACAGTTTCCTCTCTGCGAGCTCAAGGACGTATGCAAATCAGCGCGTGAAACAAAGACTAAACATTTAGCCCAGTTTGTGTGAAATTTAACGGCAGTTTGGCGCCGCGATGTTCGCGTCGTTTAAGCTCAAGAGCTGCAATCTAGGGCGACGCAGGAAAAGAGCCGAAGAAAAAAAAGCATTTCAGGATTTTCCACACACGGATCCAGGGGTCCGACCGACGTGCACTGCAGGGGCCGTAAAGCACAAAAAGCGGTGTGTGACGCAAATCCACGATAATTTTTCTGTTCTTTTCTTTATCCCCATGGCAAGCCACTCGCGAGAGAGGGATCCATCCAGCTCTGCTGCCAATGCTATTATCGTGATTATACCAAATAAAAACGTCTCTCTCCGTTTTTTTGCTCTAATTCGCTCTCTACATGTGTTATTTCCACTCGATTTCCCAGCACCCCATTCCAAGCGGCTTATAACCGCGGAGAATATTTCCTTATAATTTCGACCGCCGTTTATATATATAGAGAGATCCTCTCGGAAGAGCTGCACAAGACGAATACGTATAGTCTGTGTGTGTGTTGGAAATGAAGTGCCCCCCGCTCGAATTTATCGCTCCAATTACTATACGAGCGGCGTGGCTGCGAAATGAGCGGACTGAGAGAAGGAGAAAACAAACACACTTTACTCTAAAGAAACATCTCTTTCCTTGCGCAACCGCATCGATTTTCGCGAAATTTATATTCAACTGCTCCTCCTAAAAGGGTAAACCAACTGACCAATTTACACGATTGCCTCCTTAACATTGCAAAGGCAACTTTAAGACGCCTTTTATTTTTCATTTGTCGAATTTTCTCTGGAGTATATGCTGCAAAAACTGTTTATCATTGGAATCGTAAACATTTATACCAAATATCTTTATTCCTGTAAAGTGAATTACGATCAAAAGTATGTAAATTTAATTTAGACTAAAATGTTTTAGCCAATAGACGCATTTGTTTTGCCCCTCTTTCAATTACATAACATGAGGATTAATCATACAATTATAAGCTCAAAATCTAAAGCTAAAATTGACTAAAATAGAATTCAAATAATTAAAACCAACCATTACTTAAAATATTTGTCTTGAAACAAATTATATTGTAAATTTTTTTGGCAGTATTAAATGAAATATTAAATAAAATATGTCTAAAACTATATCATTAAAACAACTTGGTTAGCCACCAGCATTTAAAGTTACAAGAAGAACATTTTTTTATCGCTTTTTGACAGAAAAAATACCTTAAATTTATTTAAGATTATTATTTTTTATTATCTCTAGATGTCTTTTTTTTATCTTGAAAAGAAAGTGAAATTAAATAAACGGGCAATGCCCATAAAACAAAATTGATTAATTAATTTTCTGGAAAGTAAACAAATAAAAATTAGCTCTGGTCAAAGTGAAGTTTTTGATAAAATAATTTCCATTTCTGCTTCTCGCAAAAGCATGCTTTTGGCAGACCCATGTATAAGTCAAACTGTTAGGTTTGAATTCATTTCAAAATAGCGGTTAATTTAGCTCAGACATAGCGAGCGCAGCTCTCACTTGAGCCGACGACTAGTGCTGGTAATTTTGAACGACAGGGCGAGAGCTGCAGTGTAAAGAGCGGTCGGGAAAACAATGTGTGGCCGGCGAGTGTCTCATTGTGTCAATAAATAATGGCGACAGAAGGATGCACGAATACAATGGGCGCCATTGTAAATTATATTATCTAGTCGTAATTTAATTAGAAAAGTTGAGACGAAGAGTCAAAGCAAGTGCAGAGTTTCAAAGTCGCTTTGAATCGAAAAGAGGCGGAGAGCACCTTGCTCTCGAAATTTATTAACTCCCACACACTAGTGCGCGCACAAAAGTAAATTCCGCACATCGCTCCGTCGCAAAAAAAAGCCAACCCACCCAACCACCCTCGTCTCCACCGCACACATCCGACGCGTTCGTGATCTTCTCGCAGCAGCGGCACGTGAAAATTGATCTTGGGAACAGCCACTTCATGACTTGCAAAATAAAGTGACTTGCTTCGGCTGGCGCATCCAACATTTTCACACACACACAAGAACCGCAAAACGCTGGAGAAACATAAATTCGCATGCTCGGGCTTTATTGCGGACGGCTGAGAGTTATTTTACGGGGGTGCGAACACGCCACAGTTGAGGGGACAAAACAAATTTGGCGGCGAGTGTGTGGGTGCGACGGTCAAAGGTCATCACGATTTATCGCCGCCTTTCCATGAAAAGTTCTCAGCTTTTGCACAGAAAAAGCATATTTGCTTAAACAACCTTTTTGGGCCCCAACCGAAGTTAAAAACAACCAGTGATAAAAAAATTAATTTAAAGATTATTGAAATTTTCACGGTGTTTATAAAATTAGATTTTTCAAATTTCTCATTAAAACAAATTAGGTTTTCTAGAGCGAAATATTTAAAGGGCTATAAATTAATTATAAATCTTCACATCAATTAAAGAAATAATCCCAATTTTTTTTACTTAAAAACCCTTTCCATGAAATATTGAAACAGAAAAAACCATTAAGCTACAAAATGATGATTTATGGAATAATTTTTAATTGTCCTTATCAAGAAGTTGATGATAAAATATGAATTTTAATCAATTTAATTAAATACAAATTTAATAGTTATCAAATTATTACTCTATTTTATGGTTTAATTTGTAATTGTCCCATGGTGAACAATTTTTGAAAATTTAGCTAATGGATTGGAATTCTTAATATTTATGAATTGCCATCAATTTTCAATGAATCTTACGATATTTGAAAAATATTTAGAATCTATGCAGAGATGATAATTAACAAACTTGAACTCTAGCATTAAAAATCTAGAAGGAAAATGTTATGTTGATTTACTAATCTGAATTTCCATCCACGTTCAGAGCTTTAAAAATAATCAAAGAAAGAAAATTTAACTGTAGATGACAATCATGGAGTTAAAAACAAAATTATCAAGACTATTTCAATAAATCTATAAATATTTGTTTGAAATAAATATTTTTACAATAAATAATTTTGAATAATTTATATTTAAGAATTGTTTAAAAAAATCTTTATAAATTTTAAAATATTTATTAAACGTGAAAAATTTTTAAGTTGGTCTTTTTTCAACTACATAAAAAATATATTATATAAAATATTTGTTCAATCTAAGGGAAAAATGAGTGTCCGCATTGTACGCCGCGGCCTTTGCGCAACATCCCGTTTTGTGTGTTTGGGGCATCATGTGGCCGAGCCGGTCTCTAATCGATGTGTGTCGTTGGTTGTTGCAGATGGAGTGGAACATTTGTCTGGTGGTCGCGAGGTGAGCCGCGCGAGTCGCTGCACAAAGTGGAGCCGCCTGTGATATGCGAGATGCTCTTGAAGAGGGCTATGCGCTACTACCGCCTTTGGATCTACGCGTGCAACGTGGCGCTGCTGGCGAGCGTCGTGGGCTTCGCGTGCGTCGCCGGACGCACGCTCGCGGACCCGCGACGCGCGCTCATCCCCGCCGTGCGTTTCCTCTACCAACCCACTTTCCTCTACGCCTACCTGGCGCTGATCGCGCAGGGCGGCGCCGTCCAGGTGCTCGGCTGCATCGGCGCCCTCAGACTGAACGAGCGCCTCCTCGAGCTCTACTGGCTCCTGCTTTTCCTCCTCCTCTGCGGCGACGTCCTCATCGGCCTCAGCTGGATCCTCAGGTTTGACCAGGTAAAAAAACATATTTTTAAATTTGTTGCTGTCCCGTAAGATTAATATTCAAAAAGTTGAATACGCTTTTCTGGAATGTTTTCAGACGTAAAAAATAATCACTTTTGGGAAACTTTTCATTGAAAAATTTACAGCCCAAACTTTTTTTTGCTAAACTAGTGCTGGGAGGTAGGAGATGGAAAATTGGAAATATTTTTTGAAACAAAATTTTAAAAATAACATTTAAGCCTTTTCAAAGGAGAACATAAAAATGATTATTCCTTCATGTAGCACAGCCCATTTTAAAATTAAATTATTAAAAAAGAAAAAAAGTGTAAATTATATACATAGCGCCATTTCTATATATTTCAAAACGAGTAGAAAATTGGGGAAAAGGGCGAAACAACAATACTTTTCCCTCTATATTTTACTGATATTTTTAAAACAAACAACTTTCTAGCAAAATCATTATAAATAATTAAGAAATAAAAAAAAAAAAAATTATTTTTGATACACAGGCTTGGAAGAAAAATTTGAGTTGCTAGCCAAAGAGGGCAAAATTTGAATTTGCGAGATCATTGGATTGATTAATTATTGAATAACTGAAATTCCTGTTTTTTTATGTGAAAAAAGTCAATTAGCGGAAAAAATTACCTCTCACGTGTGTTTTCTCTCTCCGTATTTTTGCTCTTTTTTTTTTTGCTAGAAAAAAGACCTTTGAAACCGCAAATTTTAGCAGTTTTTGCAGTATTTACTTTGCTCCGCCAATGGACTTTGGTCGGAGCTCAACAAAGAGGGGCCGAAAGGGTTTTTCTTTCGTGTTTTTGTTTTACCTGTTGAAGAAAAACAAACTTAAAATACGCGAACACACGGCGCCTGCCATTGAGAGCAGGCAGGGTACGTACACGTGAAATGCTTTGATGTCGGGTCGGTCCTTTCAGAGTTGCTCGCTGGGAAGCGCGTGCGTTTGACTTGTGAATATTTATAAATTGGAAGAACGTTTAGCACACTTTTGCAGCCTTTCAGCAGCATACACACGTTCGGCGGCTTGTTTGTGCTTGTTTTGAACAAACAGCCACGAAAACACGAAATCCAAAGCTGCATGCATTCAATTTTAACGAGTAAACATTCAGCTATTCGTATACAGCTTTTGTGTATCTCCTCAAAGGCGCAGTCAAATCTCAATTTTCTGCGCCGATGAGAACGCGCGAAAGAAAACAACAGCCGCGTTTTATGCGTCTTTCATCTCTTTCACACGTCTGTCTGCTCAACTTTTAAATTCTCTGATCATTATGACTGGCGAAAAATATTTTTCAAAATTCCAAAATTTTCAGATTTTTATTAACTTAAAATCTTTCGGTGACGATGAATTAAAATTTGGTGCTAATTTAACGTTAATTAATGAAAAAAGAATACAAAACTTGGCATTTTTAACTATTTTTTTAGGCCTTGGGCATAATTTCCATCGGCGAATAAAATAATCAGTGATGATTTTTTAGCGAAAACAAAATCGATGAAACGTTTTTCACATACAGAATTATGTGTAGGAAATATATGGGTTCTGCAGTTCTACGATGCAGAAAGCTGGAAAAGCTGCACTTTGTAATTAAAAACGTCAAGTGAAGTAAAAGACGGCGACAATCACGGAATTGCTCGAGAACACGTACGTTCCACCACGTGACGTCAAACTTGACAACATCAAGTTGACCTCCAAAGTTTATACTCTGTGACATTTCGAGTATGGCTGCAGAATCCCAATTGAGGTCTAGAGCAAAAACTTGCTCGGGGCCGCTCTATCTGACTCGGGCACTAAATATAGAGACCTCCTCGTCGGGCGGGCATTAATTTGGAACAAACGAACGAGGGAGACAATGGACTCTGGCCGCCGCACGCTTCATTGTGCGCTCGCTCGGCCCCCTTTTAAACGACCATTAAATCAGCAATCCGTCAATCCCGTTGGCAATCCGTTAATTAGGCCAAACGTTCTAGAGATTTTTTCATCTCTTTTATCTTACGAAATAAAAAGGACGAAAGTAGAAAAAAAATGAGAAATAATGGTAAAAGCTTGAAAAATTTTGCAACAAAGGAGCATGCCTTGTACGGAAGTTTCAAACTTGATCGTTTTTTCCTGATACTTTCCAGAAAAAGAGGCTGAGATTATTTAATTTTGCTTTAAATTAATGAACTAATCAATCAAGTTTTTTAACCTACGGGTTGATCGAGTGAATAATCCTGAGATTTATAATCAGCTGACGACAAAGTACCAGGTTATGAAATCAATAAAAAAGTAAATAATAATTATAGTTGTTAAAATTATTGTAGGCTGTGGCTGTAGCTGATTTTGTTCTACAAAAAACAAAATAATTAAAAATTTAAATAATAATATTTTAAAAATTTTATTTCCCTCTTATATTAAAAATATAACAAAATTGTACAGTATTTTACAAATAAATTTTTTATCAAATTTATGCATACATTATTGTAAGGTTTGTATTTTTAAATGTAAACCATACTGGATCATGATTTAAATAGGAATTGATTATGAAATTTTAAATTTACTAACACTTTACTTATTCTAATTGTTAGGAGGTTTTTTTTTTAAATGATATAATTATCCCTTGAACTATCGTATTTGTTCTTAGAATTAATCTTAATTACCAAACAAAAAAATAAGTTTCTATAAAAAAAGGGTCAATGAAAGCATTTATAATGTGCGTGTATTGTTTAAAATGAACAGCTTTGACTTCAAAAGGAAACAAAAAGCAGACCCTTCTTTCAGCAGTTCCAACTTTTAAACTTTTTATCTGCCTCGCAGGGAAAAGGCCGACTTCTGTCGTAATTATAGAATGATAATTGCAGCGGATCCACGGGAGCGTATACAAGGAAAGAGTGGGCACGCAAGCATAAATTAGCGCGAAATTGGACTGCCTGCTCTGGGAGCCGCGCACGTTAGTTATATTTTTCTTCAAGTTTCGCCTGGTTTTGTTTAAAAAGTTTAATCTCTCTTTCTGGCGGAAAATTTGATAGCGCGGCTGCGAAATTGGCCCGGAACATTTCCAGCCGGGTGTCTTGTTGCGTCTCTTGCTAACTTTATCCCGGGCAGGCCAGAGAGCAGCGCGCGTCACTGCAAATGGAATTTTTATTTACATTGCAGCCATGAGTGACTGGCTTTAAGATTCTCGGCGAGAGAAGAACGAATTCCCAGCAGAAATTAGATCCGCCGACCGACCTCTAGGCAAACAGCCTGATGAATTATTCACATGCCAATCTGGCGTCGGAAATTTGATGCGGACAAGGTGAGAACAAATTGTATCTCTCGGCCGTGCAAATCATTGCAACAACCGAGGGGTTAACTTGGTGCTCGCGCGTGTGTCAAGGCCTATAATATGTGTAAAAGCGTCTCTCTCTTTTTGCAATCGTGCAGTCAGCAAGCATAGCAATGGCAAAGAAAGCAACCCCTCGCCGTGTTTGCAAAAGAGCTCTCATCTTGCTGAGTGGTTTTTAATGAAACTGCGTCCACGGCAAGCGACGAATCGACAACTTGCTCTCTAAGTGCTTTAAAAATGAATATTCTCCGACTTTTTTTGTATACAAAATGTGCGCTTCTCTATTTTTTGTTTTCATAAGAACGGATAAAACTGAGAGAATTTTTTTTATTTCTTTCGCTAGAGCTTTTCTGGAGCAGAAATTTCCGCATAAAAATAAAAATAAATGGCAAAATTTTATATTTGATGAATTTTGAGACAAATGTACTTTGACTAAAACTTAAAAATTGACTCCATATACAAAAATAAAATTGTTCATTAACATAAAACACTTAAAATTTGATATGAAACTCTAAGAGAATTGAAATTACTCCTTTTATATAACATTTTATTAGAAAAAATAACATTTTCCCAGCAAAATGTGTTTGACACAATTGATGGGCTTATTAATTTTCAAAGTTTTCATTGCTCTTACTCTTATGCTTGTGGATTAAGGATTATGGCACCCGCAGTAAATTTTAAAAGTAAACAATTCCGTTATTTTTGGTATGAAAAAAAAAGATGAATTCTAACCCAAAGATTCTGATAAAAATTTAAAAGTTGTATTTTTATAAAGTTTTCATTTTTTTACATGATCATTATTCTAATTTAAATTGAAAATAGTTTTTTAAATTTGCAATTTTTGCGTTTAGCATTTTTTGAAAAGAAGGTAATTTAAAAAAGCTTATAAAGAACGACGCTGGCGTATTTTAAATGAAAAAGCTTCCCTCAGTCATATTTATTGTCTCTGAGTAATTCAGCTTTTGACAAAAACGGAAAAGGTCAGCTTGCTAATTAATTTTCCAAGTCACGACTTTTAAGCTTTAATTATTCCAATGCCTTTTGTGCGGATGAAAGAGCATGAGCGTGAATTATACGGCATGTGCATTCCGAGCTGATTAAACAACAAAGCTCGCTCAGTGCCCGTTTAATTAGACAACGCCTGCCGCTCGCTGCTTATGCAACGCGGCGAGTTCAAATGTTGAGCGGACAGCATAACCAGTAGGAGATTTAACACAGGCCGGCCGGCTAGCGAGGGCGCGTGCGGTTTTGCCGTAATGAGCTTAAGTGTTTGCTGCGGCAACTCTGGATTTATTTGCTGCTGCCATTGTTGCCGCAGCACCAGTCTTGACAGTTTTCATTCGGTCCAGTCATGGCCCGACCGTGTTCTCAATTAAAGACGCAGCTGAGGGAGTTGGAAAGAGAGTGCGGTCGTTCAAAGGCACGCCGCGCACCAAAGCCGGCCTATCTTGATTTAGTCACATACGGGATGGTTGTCAGCCGGCAACTTTTGTTGAAAAATTGCCTCGCGGAAAGCGGAAAAGAGAAACAGGAGCGGTGTCTGCCAGAGCCGGCCGAGATAGGGCACAAGATGCCATCGATTTTCCGAGATATAAGTTCAAGTCGGAAATGACACTGGCCTCCAACACGCGCGCCCAGTTGCTTTCTCAGAGGTAATAAATTGCGATGACGAGCGTGCAATTTTTCAGTGTTTGCACAATCAACGTGTCATCGGCATGAGCGATGTTGGGGTGGAATTATCTGCAGAAGGAGATTTATTTTCATATAAAGGGAAGTGAGACATCAGGGAGCAAAGATGAAAAAATCTCCACAATAAGTGATTAAAATGTTGAATTAAATTAATATTTTGGCCAGTGTTTTGTGATTTAACTGTTTTTCCAATTAAATTTATGTTTTTATTAGGTTTTGGTATAAAAATAATGCAAAAATAAAAAAAAACCGTAAACAATTTCCATCTAACAATAAGGAATAAAGAGCAATTCAAATATGTCCAGTTTTTTTTTAAATAAATTTTGAAATACAGTACATTTTGCTTTTGTAAATTATAAATTACATTGAAATTAAGTTTTCCCAAATGTAATTTCGTGCTCATGCTTTAATTATAGGAAATTGAATTATAATTTAATAAAGCAGCTTAATTCATTTATATATTAAAATTGAATTTTTTAGTATGTCATTTCCAAATTTCTGAAGCATGTTGTTCCTGATGATAGACACAGCAATCTGGCTGGCCTAGTTTAAATCGAATTGGGCCCCTCGTCGCCACACGCCCATGCCTGATTATCACCAAATCCCCTAAAGGCACCCTCTGTGCAGCTATGCTTTGAGCTTTTGAGTTTGCGATCAGAGCAAATGGCGCTGTCGCCTTGATGCATGCCACGAAACCCAGCAGCGCAAACAAAGGCCCAGATCTAAATCTCTCTTTCATTCCGCTTGTTGCAGATCTGCGCCGAAATCAAACCGACGCTGCAGGCTCGCATCGCAGACGAGTACTCGTCCAACGCAGACTTCACAGACGTGTGGGACACTCTGCAGCGGAGCGCCAAGTGCTGCGGCGTGGCAGGACCTCGCGACTTTCTCCCCCTGACGCCGCAGAGTCCTGGCGAGGGAGGCAACAACACCACAATCATCGTTCCGCACAACCTGCAGGGTTGGTGGGGGTGGAGTAACGAGGGTGACGAGAGCATCCTGGTGCCACAGAGCTGCTGCCGACCCGTGATGGTTCTCGAGACCACCACCTCAGGGTCGCTGGCCAACGAGACCATCATCCTTCAGAGCAGGCAACGCTGCGAAGTCTTCTCCCTGGGTTGCGAGCAGCACCTGGTCAGGTGGCTCAGGTCGAATTCCGACATGTTGTTGGTCATCGGCTACTGCGTGGTGGCCTTCGTCAAACTCACCTTCTTGGGCATTCTGCACTACGAAATCAGGGAGATGCTGCAGAAGATCAAACTGATGCAGCAGGAGAGGGAGGCGTTCGCCAACTCAGGGGCAGACCTGACCCTGGCCAACCACTACCAAGCCCTGCCGACCAACCTTCCCCCCTCCCCTGTGCACATGAACCACCTGAACCACGCCCACGTGCCGTCGCCGCAGCCGACGTCCGTGCGGCAACAGCCGCCGCCGCCGCCGGTCCAGCAACAGCAGTCGCAGCCCGAAAGTTTTTTCGGCTCGTCGCCCCCGACATCGCTGCAGGCGCAGATGCTCTGCTCGCCGTCCCAGTTCTCGCGATTGCCAAATCACTTGCTGCGTTGCGGCGAGCTGGACGGCAACAACTCGGACACGGGCAGCCATTGCGCCCTCATTTCTCTCGACTGCAAATCGAGCAGTTTCGATAACAATAACAAAGACACTAGTACGTCGCGCCAGACGCAGATCTGACTATTGTGGCGTAGGTACGGCACCATAGCCTTATAGCGTGATGACGAGCTTAACTCGCGGCAGATTCAGTTGACTATTTAAAATAATCAGAATATACGTTCAAGGCAGCACGTTTGCAACTTTACCAAGAACCACCGTATAAATTAGATGAAATTGATAAAACGATGAGAGAAGGCGGATCCTTTTAGTGTCCAAGGTGAAGGAGAGGTTGACAAATCAAAATTACTCATAATTATATATTTCACGGCAATATTTATGTTCAACTTATTTCCAAAAAAATGTTTTGTATATAAAATATACTTCCTAAATTGGAAATATATAGTCTGCGATTTATATAAGGCTGGAATCCCAGCTAGAAATTTGATTTTTTTTTTGCCTGAAAATTTTAGATCTAACTGGTAACCAATTTTCGTTATTTATATTCTCCCTGTTTATGTACATTAAGAACCAGATTTTGGAAAGTATCAAATTTTGCCAAGGTTGCAAACCACGTACCTTTTTTATTTTTGTTGTAAAAATAATTTTTCTATCACTTCTTCTCCACAGTTTTCTTTTTTTAAGACAATACATAAAACTGATCTTTTTTTTTTGAATGATTTAATTTTACTTCTCACTTTACTCAAACCTATTGTAAATAATGTGAAAAGTAACTTAAATGAAATTTGATCAACAATAAAATCCATTTACAGAATTGTAAGATATGAAATTTATTAAAAACATTTTTTGCAACCTTGTATTATATCTTCTGTACAAATCCCCACACTTCTTTTCCTACTCTCAAATGGACTCTGCCTTTTCTCGTAATAAAAAGGAACCCTCCACGTTTTTGACAGGTTCGCGTTTGACTGAAAAATAAGTTAAAATACTCGACCAAATTTGATAAGCTTTGTATCTACCATGAAAATTTTGAGCAAGGTTGTAAAAACGATCGATTTTTCTTCTGGCCCAAGAGAGATGGACAAAATAAATGTCTCGAGTTTTGAAAAGGGTTTTCACGAAACGGCACAACATTCTGCATGGGGGGGAAACGTCGTAAAATTCTATAATATCAAAGATACACCCTTTCGGATATTCGGTGGATTGGCCGGCCAGCTTGGTGGGCAGGCGAGCACGGTGCTTTACTTTTCAAGGTAATGCCGCCGCATTTTATGGACAATGAATAATAAAATGATATGCCGACACTCCTCTCGACAAATCAATAGCTGACGGTGTGTTGAGACGATAAATAATTCATAGCTATACACCCACAAAAGAGAGGCGGTCCTTGGACTATAAACACATCTCGTTTGCGCGGCGGACCTTCCACTATATAGAGCACTATACTTTTTCGAATAGAACTCTCCTCACTCACACGACATACACGGCTGTATCAAAATTACTTTTGTAAAAAGCAGTGCGGATGAGTGGACCTTTTTTGAGTGTGTGACCTGCAGATAACATCAGTGCCAGAGAGTATAATAACCGGGCCAAAAGGACGGATATTACAAAAAACAGGCAGCATTTCAAATTTTCGCTACATACCCGCCGGCTAAATGCTGGTACTTTTCAAAATAGAAAGAGAGCTCCTCTGTATTTCTACACCCAGGAACATTTTTTGTAAAACTCGGACTCTCGCCGTTTCATTCCATTCCGTAGTAATAATAATGTCTTGAAATGGAAAAACTGATTCTATTATCTGTGGGAGAAAAATTAAATTTTTAAAAATAATATGTAAACTTTCGGTGTAAATATTTAAAATTTTTACTCAAATGTGCAGTTCGAGTGTATTTAAATTTATGACAAAAAATTCCTGATTCTCCTTTGCATTCACGTTGTTAATGGGGCAGTGGAATATTTGTTTGAAAGCTTATTTGAGAGCAATACTATACCTTGATGCAATGGTAAAATTTCAAAAAGACTGAATGGTAAATAAATTTTGAGGAAAATGTCTTGCTTTTTTATTAATTATAAAAGATTTAAATTACTTAATTCTTTGTTGTTATTTAAGAATTGAATGACAATAATTATGGCAAATTATGTTGCAAAAAGTAAATCAATTTCGCTGCCCTAGTCTGTTGTAATTCTTGTTCTTTGAAGCAATATTATTTCAGGAATCGTGTACCATTCAATGTATTACGCCACTCATCTGTGACTCTTAGCTGCGCATGACCAGAAACAATAAAATCCGTTTTTATTGTTAGCATAAATAAATATTATTCAAAAAAGCCAAATCAAAATTTCCGTTCGGGAGAGAAATTATATTAAATTTTCGTCGTTACAATATTAATGTTATAGAAACTCAATGTTCCAGATGTACAAATTCGCCTGAGTAAGTGCGAGACGTGAATAAAAATAGTCAACAAAAAAGGTTTGGTGCGTATTTTAAACAGGGGGGCTGATTTTATCAAGTAATCAAAATACATGGCATCGACGCTGACCCACTATCTGTGCGAACCTGCGCATGACGCGCGGTTCAGAACTTGGACGCAAACGTGTATTTTTAAAAAAGGCACTTTTATCAAAGTCACTTTAAAATCTCACAATTTACCTTTTACGAGAGAGCGAGAAATAATTAGAGCTTTAAAATTAAACAAAATTTAGCAAACAAGACAATTTACATTAAATAAAACGCTAATTATATATAAACAAAAATCAATAGGGGCGATTTCGAGCTACAAATGAAATCCAAACTATGGACGTATTTAAAATCAATTTGAAAATCACAACAAGAAAATTTTCAAATCTATTATAAGTGCATTTGAAACAGCATGCAAAGGAGAAAGTATTTAAACGAGAAGAGAAGCAAGAAGAAGAGCGCGTGATATGTTCAGTAATTATGAAACTAATCATCCGCCATCACAATTATATGCGAGTGCGCGTTGAATAGGAGTGTGTGTGGGTGTGCTTATCAGGAGGGAGAGTGACATTTACTTTATTCTTATGAGAAAATGATAATAAATTCAGGAGTTAGTGGAATTATAATGGTTCTGAGTATTATTTATTTCAGGTAAATTACCCTTTATTAATTAGCGATAGACGAAGAAGTAGATTAATTTGAGATAACCGTTTAGCATTAAAGATCTAGACACATTTTATGTTGATAATATAAATCGATATAAATAATAATAATCGCAGGTGATATTTTGCCATTATTTTTTCAACACACTATACTCCTTCAAAAGGCCAACATAAAATTTATAACAATCAAAATTATTATTTAATAAATAATAAAAAATGCATAATATACATATACTTACAACATTCATGAAATGTATAATTATTAAAAATTAAAATAATAAATTCATAATTATCAAAATTAAAAGAACTGATTTAACTTTTTTGGCTATATAATATAAAAAAAATTTTTGTAATTTAAATCAGTAGTAATAAAATAAGTGTGCTGTATATAAAATGAAAAAATTAAAAAATAAATAAAAATCAACTTTTACGTAGACAAATCTTTATAAAGAAATTTTTTGGTATTAAAAAATTCCTGCGATAAAATTTTTGAGGTAAAATAATTAAATATTTCTTATCAAAATCATGAATCGATGTTGTTAAAAATTTAAATATACAACAAAAGTCTATAACGAGATTGCAGCAACGGTTTCATAAAAAAAATCCATCAGGAAAACCAAGTTTTATTGATTGTTAATGTATATACGTTTATTTAATAATTTTTCATTCGAACCAGCATTTTGAGTATTTGCACAACAGACGGGAAAATAATTTTCCTCACAATGAGCTAAATTTGGTTCACACTCAATGACCATGCTGATGGTAAAATACACAACAATACATTAACAAACGGTGCAAACAAACAAGAATTTGCCAGCCGAATAACAAACCGCATTTATATACATACATGTAGAGCGCACATAGCCAAATGTTTATGTTTACTCTGAGCAATTCTCGTGCATATATTTAGAACTGGCTCTCTCTAGCGTTTGAACATACACAGAGCGAGCGACGCTAGAGCTGATGAATAATTTTCGCACTATTCACAGCATCTGCCTCGCAAACAGCATCACACAATTTGTCACAGCAGTCTGCGTCTGATTAATTTGCCAGACGCGCTTCACACTCACAATTGACACCAACAAACGCCTGCTCTCTCAGAGCTATAAAAGCAAAAAAAATTGTACACCTCTTATATAATGAGAAGATTTATGCAAAAATAAATACAAAGTTAAAAAGTCGTCAAATTGTAATTTTGATGATTAAATTTCACTTGAGAGTTTCTGGAAGAACTTTTTGTAAAGATTTTAAACAACATGGTTTTTTCATAAAATAACCTGTCAATTTTCAAAATTTACATAGCCTAAAAAACCAATGTAAAAATGTTTTGGGAAGCTCCTTAAATATTTGTTCTGATTTTAATTTTTTAATCTTTTCAAAATGATGCGGTTCGAATTGTTTTTAGATTTTCATGCCTCACAGGATTTATCCTTCATTTTTAACTATTCATAATTTTTGGTGTCTTTCAGTATTTTTAATATCGGCGAGGCGGAGCGAAGAAATCTTGGAGTTGCTTCCAAAGGAATGGGTTTCCGCCCGCCGGCGAAGTGGCGCGGCGCTGCCCAATTTGGTTTGATGTTTGTAGAGTAGCATCGACTGCGTTTCCCAGACCGAAGAGTTCCTTCTCGTTAAAAAGAAAGTAGCTGCCGCGGGCGCTGGAACATAATTTTTTCGGCAAGATTAATGAGGTGTGCGCTGCAGGTATACAAAATCAATCACAGCGTACCAAATGAGATTTCTTTGATTTTAATTAAAAACTAATTTTCTCTGGATTTTCTAATTTTTTATTTTATATTACGGCTTGAGCAGCGTTTCAACAATAACAAAAGGTTTCTAGCAAAAAATTTAGATTTCTTTCTCATCTCTGGCGAAATAATATTTTGTATAATTAAAAAATTAACTCCGTTTCGCCTTCAACTGCTTTCCTTTTTCATTTTTTTTCTCAATAATAGATTATTTCTATAAAGTTGGGAGTTGAACTTAAAATTAATTATTGAGTAGCGAATGTTTGTAAGAAAATATTTAAGCTCACTCTTTATAAATATAAATCAATATAAAGCCTTTTTTGCCCAGAAAGGAAATTCAGGTATAGAAGTTCTGAAAATTTGACTGTTTTTTTACTCAAAAAATAGAAAGAAAGAATCAAATTAGGATACACAGATGTTAATTAAGTTTAATTTGAATCATTGTAAAAATTGATTAATTAAATATTTCCCCTTTCAAGCACTTTGTACAATAATTTTATATGATCATAACAATTAATAATTACCAAGTGGAGGTTTAATTTATCTGAGTTTTGCATATTTATCCATTTTTTTATTCATATATTAATGCCTTTTTTATTATTTTGAATCAAACCAATTTTCAATAGCACTGACAATGAATAAAATTCTACAGAATGGATTTCTACTTGTATTGCAAGACTATTGGTAACTTCGCACAATTGTGCCCTCTTCGTGCCATGTGTGAATCGATGAAGGGAGGCGGGTTTCCCTCCTTCTAATAGAACACGTGTATATTTTTCCCTTTCAGGCGGCGGCGGCGGCAAAGGGGTTTCGTGAAAGCCACCGCTTTTTGTGCGAGATTGCGCCATCGGTGTGGCTCTTCTCTCAGCGGCACTTCTTGCTGCTACACATATAATTTGATAAAAGCGACAGCTGCCGTCCTACCTGTTCGGCGCCTTGAATCCCATGGGCACCGCTTCCTCGGGCTCGCGGCACAACCCCTGTCTGTACGCCGCGTAGCTCGCGCAACGCATCGCCGGGAACGCGTTCTCGAACATGACACTGCGCGCGTACACCTCGAAGGCGCGTCCGTGGCCGCAGAATTCTGCAAAAAATAACATTTCGTGTTAGTAAAAGCAATAAAAATAATGAAAGAGAGCGTTTGTGCCGGTTGCCATTGATTGTCCAAAACTCACATTTCCGGAATTGCGAAAAAAGTTATCTAAATTGTGTGTGCGCTTTTTTAAATAATTAAATTTCATTTTTATTGTGATAAATTTGGTGGAAATACATTGAAATCTAAGCTAATCTTGAAAAAAAAAAATACTTTATGGGTGAAATTAGCACCTATTTAGATCTTTTTCAGGTGAAATACATGGCAAATAAGCACGCAAAAAGGCAAATTTTATACTTCAACATTATATGTTGTTGAAATTTAAAAACAAAGACCTTGATTAAAGACAAAAATTTCAAAATCTGTGATTTTAGGTAAAACTATAGGTTGTTATTTACTCAATTTAGATGGAAAATCTGGTGAAATTGACAATTTTTCATAAAATAATATGTTATTTTAGAAATTCTAAATTGGCAATTTTCTATTTTTATATTTATTTGTAGTTTTTTTTTTATTTCTAACAAAAAGGTGAAAAGATTGACAACCTACTTTTTCCATCTTTGAACAATTTGATGAATTTTTTCAATGTAAATTCGAGGACTATTCATGAAAGCAAAAATTTATTGCCTTTCGCCTTGTTCAAATATATTTTAAATATTTTTGGTTCAACAGAAAAGAAACTGATCCATGTTGACAATTATTTTCGGCCGTTTCTTTAGAGGAAAAATGTGATTTTCCGGACAAGCGATGGATTCCCATATGTGCACCAATGTGATCGATTTTCGACCAAAATAGACCTCCCGCGGCTATTTCCGGCAGAGAGCCGACGCGGCGAACACTGATTTGCGTAAATTGTATTTTTATTGGATTCGCCGCTTTTCATCTCTCTTTCGCCGGTCGGCAGATTTCGGAACGTGTTATGAAAAAAGTGTTTCTTATTCGTAAGCGGGTCGATCTCGTGTCGGCGCTCATCACTTCCAAACATGCAATTTCGGCCCCGACACGCTTCATTTCCAAGTGAAAAAGCGATCCAGAACTTATAAACTTGCGTCAGCGATTGATTGAGATTGGAAATTGCTTCCAGATCTATCTCATCGAGTGTTTATGCAAAGTCTGTGGGCGGATTATTACGTCGCGAATGCATTACTTGGGTATTGTCTCGCTTTTGTATCGGCATTTAAATGGGCAGGCCTGACGTAAATGTGTAGGCCGTGCCCTTTCAGCCGAGCTGTGTTTCCTCCAAACAGAAAAGTATCCGCTTAACAAAGTGGGCTATTTTTACAGCGGAAAAAAAAATGTTATATATCACAACTGAGGTCATTATACAAAAGAGATAACGGTTTGTGGACTGTGAGTAGAATAAACTTTTTTGGGGTGGAAAAAGCATACATTAGTATAAAAGAATAAAAGAGCCGACTTCTAAAATTCATATTTCTGGAAAAGTAGAACCCGGACGAGAGAAAAAAAAATAGCAAAGACATTCACTTTGCGGATATTCACAAAAATAATAATATTAATATTGTAGTGAGATATTTAATCTTATCTTATTTGTTTGAAAATATTTAATTTACTCGATTTTCTCAAAATAGCTTAAATAATAATCATGCAACTTTTTATTTTCGTAATTAAAATCAAAATCTTGAAAAAATTAATAAATAGTCGCCAACAGAAAAAATTAGTTATTATCAAAATTCCATGACGACCTTTATTAATTAGTTTTATTTAATATTTCTGATGTAGATAAATTTGAAGATTTATATATTTTTTTTATGTTTTTCAACAATTTTATGAGTATTACTGAAAAATTTAACAAGCAAAAAGTTTGTATATCAAAAATGAATTTTCCGGCTTGCGTTTGTTTTGGAGAAGCAAGGGAACGAGGAGCAAGTTCGGATGAACACATATTTGCAGGGAGGAGTTTGATAATTAGGCGCAGGTGACCCTTGCGGAGAGATAATGAGGTTAATCACCTTTGCGGTAGTAGTTAGTCGGTGCGCGCAGAATTCTGGGCACATGGCACTTGCTTGGCTTGGGTCTGCTGATGTAGAAATTGGCGTGCCCAAAGTCGTGCGGCCTCCGCTCTGATGGGCTGTCGGTGTCGATTACGTCCACGAAATACGCGTCCCCCGGATCCAGCCTTTCTTCGACAGGGAACGTTGAGATATTTGCCATCAGCGGATCGAAACCTGTCGCCAGAAATAAACGCCATCACACACATAAACACACACACAAATCCTTACTTTTTAGTCTCCTAGGAGCAAATAAAAAGTGTGCGGGGAGGCAGAAAAAATATGATGCCACGCAAGATTTGACGAAAAAATAAACATGCATATCTGATTTTTATAGCTGTGTTGCTTGGATATTATGAAGATGTCCATGTATTTTTGGTCATAAAAAAGAACTTGTGTTTTCCTTCAATAAAATTATGCAAAATAAATAATTAATTGTCCAAAAATATTGATACAAATTTTGAATAAAGAAAATAATTTTTGTTCTTAAAATCCATTTTTATTTTAGTCAAAGAATTGTTCTTGTGCGTAAAAATTGCGTCGAAATGCAAGTTCTAACAACTATAACTTAAAATATCCTCAAAATTGAATTAAATACTAATTTTTGATTTAAGTTTCAGTTCCTGAAGTTTTAGAACTCACCATAGTTTTTGGGACTGGAATTTCACGAGTAGGTCAGAGAGAGGGAAAAAGAACTATTTTTTGATAAATTCAACTTAATTATTGAAAATTTTACCTCATTAAAAGTCAATTAAAGATCCAATATGGATTTTACTTAATTAACATCAGTTTGTTCAATAAATACGAAGAAGTCCAAAAAGATGATTGATTTAAAGAAAATAAATTGTTGAAAAAAATGTATTTTAAATTTAATTAAATAAAGAATTAATGCTCCAAGTGTTAAAAACCCAAGTTTATTATCTTAAAAGAGAGTTAAAAAAGTAATTTGCCGTTTATCCCAAGCCCTATTTCAGGAATTTCTTTAACACTTTTTATGCACAAATCAGATATTTGTATATTTTATTTTTCCGTTCTATGTACCATGCGTGGAATCGCACACAATTTTTTTACTCGCCTGTGATCCTTGGGACCCTGACAACGTTGGTCTTGCCGGCAGCCACCCCCATGGCGTGGGCACCAAGGTTATTGCCGATCAAGTGCAGGTCCTTCAGTGGTCCGGCATTCCTCTCGACGAAGTCAAGCATTCGCGCGATCTGATAGCCCAGGGGGCTCACATTTTCCACGGCCGTCTGGTAAAACGGACCGGCTGCAACAAACAGAGAGGACTCGCTTTTTATAATTGGAAAATCCGCAGCGGCCTGACACTGGCCCGCCCTGTGTGTGTGTTTTATAAGCATGCAAATAAAAAGCCCCGCGGGCCAAGTATGCAACCAGTGTGCCAAGTGGGTTGCCAACATAAATTACGCCCCAAAGAAACTGCAGCGCAGCCTCTTGGATAGCATCTCGCACCCCTTTTTTTTCATTCAAATTAGCCCGATTATATGCAGAGCTGGGCGCGAGATTAAACTCGCACACGTGTCACTTCACCCCAGTATTTTGACGTAAGCAGCGTGTAATGAAGTCGCGGCGGGAGAACGATCCGGTGTGTTTATTAACTCGCAAATTACCCACTGGTGCATACACGAGAATGCGCTGGCTGCTCTTTAGATACTTTAGATAGACCGAGTAACTTATCACCTGGAAAATGCTTTGCACATTTCTGCAGCAACTGTTTCACTGCAAATCGAAAATCAATTTCAACTTGAGCAAAAAGGAGAAATTTTTTATTACAGATTATGTCATGGAAGATTTAATTTAACTATGTTTATAAAGGTGAAATAAAGTTCTTAGAATTTTCGTTCAAAAAGATTAATATGAAAAGTGGCAATTGAAGATCTCAAGAAGTAAATGCAACCTGCTTGATACGCTCGTCTCGAAATTGCATCGATCCACGCTATTTTTGAAATTAATTTTTGTCCCACCCTCAACGGTGGAAAGGAAAACCTTGTAAGTAAATTTCGGTTTTGATTCGAGTACATATTAAATTTTGTCTATAACTACTTCCAAATTTCTTTTTGAAATTATTCTAAAGTAATCTTTGAGGAGTGGAAAAATAATTATTTATTGAAAAAAATATGTTAAAAAAAAGTTTATGTATCAAAACGTTTTAATGAAAATAATTACATAAAATTTTATTAATAAAAATGAGAATAATTATTAATAATTATAATATCAAAAATAAAAATATTATAAAAACGAAATTAAATTTTAATATGATGTTTAAAATTAAATTTTAAAGTGTTTTATAACAAAAAATTAATATATAATATTATTATTTGAAAAGCTTTAATTTGTCTGTACTTCGTTTCTTTACCTACTTTTATCTCTTGTAATAACCTATATTCTTACAAAAATGATAATAAACTTATCGCAGCTTTAAAAAATGAGATAAATGTAGATAAAGATTTTTATTCAATTTTTCGTGGTTTGGCTCCCCAGACGATTAAACTGTAGGCTCCGCATCCAAGCGAGGAGTCCGTCAACCATCAGCAGCGAGAGTGCGTCAAGTATAATTGAACTGGGCGTCACTCTATGTTTTTTTTTTATACTCAGTCATGAACACTGGGAAAAAACTGAGGTGCACAGGCTGTGTTGTAAAAAAAACGCTGACGCGGAAAACTCATTTGCCGGCGGAGAAAAAAAAATTGCAGCGAATTTTTGAATTAGACGGGGAGCAAAAAACAGCAAACATGTTTTTATATAACATAATATTATATATCTCGACTCTTTTTCATTTAACAAAAAAAAAAATTAAATTTTGTCGCTCACCTGCGAGTGGTCTCCATCCGACTGTGACGAAATTGAAACCTCCCCTGGCGGCGTAGGCTGCAAAAAATTAGAGCTGATTAATTATTTTGATAATCGGCGTGTGACGCAACTCGCCTCTTCTCACAGTTCTCGTTTCGATCGACTCCGGTCCTGCCAAATAGCCGTGCGCATAGAATACGGTCGGGTAATTGGGGTTGAAACCTGAGGCGGCCAAGTTTTCTTTGTCGTAAGGGATGAGCGTTTTGTACTTGTCTGCGTCGTGTCTATCAAGGAAGCAGGAGATTATTGATTAAAGCGGGGCACACTGTGCACTAACGGGCTCGGCAGCGGGAGGTCAAATAACGCATGCAAATGACCTCTCTCGCACCAACACAATAAACCATTCACCTTAAATTAAAATGCGATCGGACTTCCATTAGAGCAACGAATCGAGCTGTGAGCTGTTTAAATTGGATACCTTAATTAGGTTCAAAATTAATCATTCAACAAGAGAGACTTCAATGTTATGTTAAAAGTATCTTTCTGTCCGAAATGTAAATAAATAAACATTTCTTTTTCTTTTGGAAAAATATAAATAAAATGTGACGAGACTTGCAAATTCTGCAATTAAATATTTCCATCTGGAATTCATTTCAACCCATTTTTTAATTGCCGAAAATGCAATTTCAAGTATTGAGAAGATTAAAAATATCTCGCATTTAATTTTCTTGTGTTTCTTAAATTTGTAAATCTATTTTTGGCAGTCATCATCTTGTTTCACCTACTCATCGACGCAGGCACAAACCAAAACTGGTTCAGCCACTTTAAAAGAAATAGTTGATATTATAGGCCTTTTTTATACCAAAAAATATGTAAAAGATTTATTAAATTATTCAGGTTGGCCAACTGCAAGAGCTAGTTTTCGTGACATATTTTCAAATCAATACACTTTAAGTACAACAATGGCGCTTTTTATTAATGACCTGCTTTATTAGGTCTTATATTCGAGTGAGCTTGGCGGGTTGTCTCGTGAATTATTGATGCCATAGAGGAGCCTCCGAAGTGCATTGCACCTGGCCGGAACACCGAAAGCCCATTTCATAACTTGGTCTTTTTACTTGGAGTGAGTTGAGTAGAATGGAGTTCAGCTAGCAAAACTACGATATAGACCCCTGGAGGCGAGGCGGCGGCGTGTAGCTCTAAAGAGGTTAAAACACTTTTCCGTTCCCATGTGTTTCCCAGGGATGGATCGTGCATCATGATTCGCCAGCAGCCCATTTATTACAGACACACACACGAAAAAGATGAAAGTGCTTTCGTTGACCTAATAAAGATGACGAGAACAACAGAGGTACCCTTTTTAGGTGATTAACAAAGGTAAAGATTTTTTAATTATAATAACACAATAAAATTTTAGAGTTTATATAAAATTCAAATTATTTTGGGCTAATTATTTATTTGGGTTATTAAGTATTATTGATAAAATTGGCTGATTGTGCTTTGGTTGCTAAATAAAACAGAATTACATTATTATTATGTAACGTACAAATATAAAATTTTGAAAAAAGTTAAATTTTTTTAACATTGAATTTAGTTGCAAATTGAAACCATGGTCGGCCAGTGTTGTGCTTTTGTTTAACAAAAAAAAGCACTCACTTTCTTCCACCCCCATTCCTAGTTTCCTCTGCTATTCTTGATATGATGTGTATTTGGGCAGCTGATTTGCAAATCACGAGGAGGAAAACGTTCACGCTCATGTCAGGCATGACTTTCCTGCCGTTGATTTGAAAGCAAATGATGCATGATTACAAAATTGCTTTTATCAAACGCCAGTGAAACAAGCCGCTGCTGAGAGAGCGTTTGCAGATTTCCAAAGAATAACGCCCCAAACATTCATGAACACAGAAGCTGTTACTTTTATTGGTTTTTGACATGCTCAGGATAAAATCTACTAACGCGTTCCTAGCAATTTGCCCGCGCCGCCGATCGGTGCGCTAGATTAAAATAATGTGTGCAGGAAAGAGCGAAAGGACACATTAATTTTTGACCCAGCAATTTCCTGGCCTTGTAAACACACAAAGCACCAAAGAAAGACACACAATTACGAAAAATATCATCTTAAAAATAAAAAAAAAGCTGAAAAAGTCCGTAGTGGGGAAAAATTCGACTGATGTAATTCGATCTACTTCGTTTTGCAAAGTGTTATCAAAAATTATAAATTATGGCTCATAAATACATATAAATTGTTGTATTCAATTTATGCCAATATTTTCGTGTTGCTTAAATATCTCATATTTGCTGGAACAATTTGTTATATTTTACAACTTGTCTCTCGGCATGTCAGTTGATCAGTTGATTTGAATTTAAAATTATTTTCATGTGACATAATTAATTATGCTAATGTAAAATAAACTTTATTTCAAACAGCACTTTTGTTTAATTAAATCATTTTTCAATTAAGGAAATTGATTTTAATTAACATTATGAGTTTTATTTGAGCAAGAATTTTTTTCAACACTCTATTTTTTAGTCTGACCCAAAACTTTTCACAACATATTGGATGGTGCAATATGAATGTTTTTACTGATTTTTTTTACACAATAATTATCATTACCTATTCTTTTTTAAAAATTAAAAAAAAAAAATTAATAAAAGTCAGGTTTAATTTCAATTTTTACCCTAATCGATAATTAAAATTTCTTAATTTGCAAAATAAAAAGCTATAATTTGATTTCTTAATTGTTTCTGCTTAAATATTGTTTTCAATAAAAAAAATGTTTGAAGTCGACTGTAATTCCCAGCCCTACACACATAGTTCTCTAAGTAAATAGAAATAAATACATATGTTCGCCTAATTAGAGGCCCCCCTGCAAGACAAAGGTCGTGCTCGCACGCGGTGTGTAATTTTGGCGTGCGTGAAACTTGCAGGTTCGCCGCGCGGCCGCGTCTCTTTCCAAAAAAGAAAGTTAATTGAGCCGACCGACCACATGCATGGCACAAAGTAGCGCTGTGGGCTCGAATTATTTTATATTCGCTGATAAAGTTTTGTGTGTGCTCGCGCTGATCTCCAGATACAGAAAACAAAAAGGCACCTCGACTTTTAATCATCAAAGCGGAGCACCAGCGACTGCCTCTTTATAAACGAAATTTTTCTCCTTTCAAATTAATTCTGTCGCTTTTTATTCCTTTTTTTGGAGAGTCTGCGAATAACCCTTGAAACTTTTATAAAAGGCGAAATTTGCGTATATAAAATATTTTTCCCGAGTCGCTCTCTCGCCAATGGGAAAAGTAATGAGTCTCTCGTCGTTCTATTGAAAAGCTGTGGGTGTGTTTTTTTTATCGCATAATTTCACAGCGGATTGAAAAAATAAACCTGCGGAAAACTGCTGCTGAATGTGGTCAATAACGTGCTCGGTGCTCTCTCTAGTGAAAGACGAGGCATAAAAACGCAGTAAAAAGCAGAAAAATCTGCCTGTGCCGCGCGCATCTGATTTGAATGAAGTTAACAAATTATCTCGTCATGCCTGCGGTGACGTGCTCAGCTGCACACTCTGAGCGAGCACGTCTCAACTCGTTGAAAACCAAAAGTGCTTACGACTCCAAAATTGTTTTCGCTGACAAAAAAAGTGATATCATAACTGATATTCAAATGAAATCTAATTGTATAAGAATTTCAGAAGCCGCTTATACTGTAAGAAATGCCACTTGGAAAGATTTGTGAAAGTGGATTTACAGTAAAAATTAATACGCAACAATTTTTCACAAAATTCCCAAGAGAATAAATTTAAATCAATATAGAATTTCCTTATCATAAATCGCTATAAAACAAACAACAATAAATTTTTACGACTGTGTAAGACGTAAAAATATTATTGCTGCAAAGTAGATCGAGTGGAATGTGTCTAAAAAGTTGCTAATTTCGTTGACTTTCCGAATTGAAAAAAAAAATGAGAAAGTTGAAATATCCTATATTAAGTAGATCAGACGTTTTGATACCTTTAGAATTCAGAGTGTTTGAAGTTCAGTCCAGGTTTGGAGTTAAACAACTGCGTTGTGTAGAAAAATGAAATTATTTTCATTCTTCTATCAATAATCCATAATCCACAATAGTTCAACACTATGATTTTATCTTTTATCGCGCTCAATATTTTGGCTGTTTTTATGAATAAAATTTAAAGTTTACCAGGCAACAACGTAATATTATAAAAAGACACATTTATTTTATGTTGTTTAAAAGTTTTAGGAAAGATAAATTATAAGAAATTAAATATTTTAGTAAATTATAATGACATAAAACTTAAACAGTATAATAAATCTTATATTTTAACTTTTTAAATATGTTAAATTTTTATTTTAGATTATTAATTTTTTTTTGTTTTTTACATTGATTGTGAATTAAATCTTATCACGCCATAAATTTATTTAATTACGTAAACATTGATTTTATAAAGGTAAAAAAATTAGATGCTGTCCATTCTCACTCATTTTTATTCTAACAGACTTGTTTATAAGCTTGTCTTCCTTTTTTGCATAGTCAATAATATAAAATAATCTTATTATAACTAACAATGAAAAATGAAACGGAAACGATATAAAAGGTAAATCTCAGTTGTTTTGAAAATTCTAATCTATTGACAAATAAAATTAAGGTCATTAATTTGTAGACAAACAAAATGAATTGTGAAAAATAATAATATCATCAAAGTAGCGTGTTTTAATTGATTATTTGAAATGAAAAAATTTTATAAATCATGATATGATCTGGCTGAAACTAAAACAAAGCCAAGTAAGTCGAACAATTGAGACCATCATTCGCGTTTGTACCTCAACATTTTACCCTCAATAAAACACACGTGCGCCCCGCACTGATCCATAAGCGAGCACCCCAGCAGAGGGTACGTTTCGTGAGATGGTGATTTATTCATTACGTTTGTAAGTAGTGCTGGGCGCGCAAGAGTTGAATAAATTTACTCGGGCGACCAACTAAGTGAGTGCGCTGAGGAGAGCACATTATTTGCACTCTGGATTGTCCGTCCGTAGCTGATGCAAATAAAACGTGCGGACACAATTATTGGCAATTCCCTCTCTGAATTGCGACTGACGATATTTATGCAAATTAACGAGGACGAGATAAAAATCGGGGTTATCTGCTTGTCCGGGGTGTTTATTTGAATTTTATATTGAGGGAATTGCAGTGCGGCAATTCGATATTATTGTTTGCCGCATCATTTTTTTTCATCATTATTTTGCCTCAGCAATAGATTCTGTTTTGCTAAAAAAACTGGCGTGTTCTTTAAATTCTTGTCTAAAAAATTAACCAAGGAAAAAAATATAAATTGAAATTTCCTGTTCATTAGCAAGCAACTTTAACAAAATACACAAGAGATTGAATTTTTGTTCGAGGCGCTCAGGCGTATAGGGAAACAATGATCTGGAAGTGATTACCGAGATAACTCGCTCCTTTGATGATCTAATTAAAAAGAGCTCGCACTACACAGTTGAAAATATGAGAAAGCGCCGAGAGATTGCTGCTTAAAACTTGGCTTAAACACTTTCGTTTTTTTATCGCTCGCCGCGGCTGGGCGCATTGAGATAAAAAAAAACTTGACCTTTCCTCACCAGGGATATATGCAACCAGAATACATTAGGCTAATGCCCGCTCTTTCGCAATTGCGGAGCCAACAAAAATGTGCTTCCTAAACAATTTTCACCAACGTAATAATAAAAGCACTGCCGTTTTTTTGCCGCATTCTTTTACAGATTTAATTTCTGTAGTTTTTAATTATGTTTTTTTGGTCAAATTTAAGTGTTAGGTAATTACTTCATTTCTTAGGAAATTTTAAAAGTGTAAAATATTTATATTTTTTTTATGCCATGCAATGTAAATGTGAATATTGTTATTTAGTTTTCTTCGTTGAATGAATTTTGGGTTTTGTAGCAAAAAATTCTTATCAAGGGTCCGATTTTTATTTTTTTAAAAGCATCCTTCGATCAACCCCTTCTAGCCCTAGACATCGTCTATGTATTAGTTTCAGATGCTCGCTTGAAAATGAAAATTGTTTTTATGCTCAAAAGTATGGAAAATGCTGCTCGCATTTAAAATTAAAAATTGCACTCTCACAAGCATATTTCCTGTTTTAAAGCTCGAGATGAATCACCACTTGACATTTACAAAATATCAGACTTACCCATCGTAAAACTGGTACAAGTGAAAGGTGACGTCGATTCCAGGTCTGATTTCGGGGCAGACGCCGCTTCCTTTTTGCACCGGCGCGATCTGGACCCACGCGTCGCCGTTCAAGAGGCGGCCAGGTGGACCTGCGAGGAAAAAAAAATAAGAAAGCAAATTAGTAATGACATAACCGGTCCGTGACGAAGCGCAGCTCATTTCGCCCGAAATGGGCCTTTCTTCTCGTTGAATCATAATCAATATTTATTTTCTCGTTCATTATATCCGAGAGAGAGAGAGCGAGCGAGCGGCTTTTTCAAACGCCATATTTTTAATTGGACTCGTTCTCTTCGCCCGATGTCAAGCTCGTGACGAGACAATTTATCAAAGCGTTATTACTTCTCCAATTGAAATATCATGTTTTATCGCACTCTCCAATTATCACGCGGGCCGAGTTGGGTGGTGTTCGTGATTCTGTGATGAATGAACCGTTTCTCGTCATGAGTGGTCCCAAATAATGTGTGTTCGTGACAATCTAATTTTAAAAACAAACTTCAGGTGAGTACATTTCCCGACCACTGAAAGCTTTTTGACGGCGATCGATAATTTTATTTCGGTGGATTATCAAATAATTACGAGGCTCGCCTGCGCACTTGTTGGAAATTCATGTCGTAAAATCGTGAGTGCTGCTGGATGTTTTATGACTTTGTAACGGACATGGAGAGTTTGCCAAATGTATTGCATGCCGTGCAGTTTGCGTAGTATTTTATGAATTATACTAAGAATTTTAAAATTCTAATAGTAAATTATAAGTTTTTTATTGCTTATTTTGCATAAAACATATATTATGTATTATTTTTAATTTTTAATTTTGATAATGCAGGAACTTGACAATTTTATGCTTTTCAACTTGTGTTTCTGGTATGTAAATCATAATTTACAAAATTTTATGTAGAACTGACACTAGTTAAACACTTATTTAACTACTATTCAATAGCAATAATATTTTCAATTTGTTGCGTTTCTATTTACAATATTAAGTAAAATTTAAGGAGCAAGGAAAAATCTAAAATGCTTGTACTTAACATAATAATATTACAGATATAATAAATGTAATCTGTGTAATCTATTAATTATTATTTAATAGAAATTGACCGAGCGAAAAATTCTAACACTATAAATCTGCAAATATTAGAAAAGTTTATGATTTCAAATGAGAGATGTATTTTAAATATATGTCACCTAAGGTATTAATTAAAATATTTTACTTCAGAAAAAAATACATTTTAAAGTAAATTGATTAAAATAATATAATTCTGGTAATTCCTATTGTCGTGCAGTGTATTTTTATTTTTAAGTGGCTGTTTAAAAACGATAAATTTTCTTTGAACATTTGTAATTCTGTTCTAGATGGCTACGTTTTTACGATAATTATGATAATCATACACGTGCGATTCACACAGACACAAGAGTTTCTATTTCCGAAATGATTTATTCAAACAAGCCCTTTTCAACGTCACACTTTGCACATGTGTGACTAATAATAACCGCGTCCATAAAAACGTCTCTCAGCACCTCGCTGTCTATAAATTCTCACCATATATTTCTTTTTTTCTCTCTTCGAAAATAAACCGCCGAAAACTTTCACAACAATATAACCTTTCTCGGTCGGTGATAACCCTAATTGGGTAATAATTTTGTCATTACCAGGCCAAAATATATACCGCACGCACACGGAGCACATATGCATGCCATTCTCTGTAAAGGTGAGCAAAAAGAGAGGCCCATAGTATATGTGAGCCGACGGAGGAACCGGCGACGAGACCGGTGCCTTGAAAGGGAAAGCAAAGTGCGGTGTGGTTTACATCAGCCGCCGCCGCCGCACATATTATACACGAGGTATAAATTATCACGCAGGAAAAAGCTCCGAAAATTATACACACGCGTTTACGTGTCTGCTTTTGATCAAGGAAGAGCGTTTTTGTGCACTCTGGTGTGGCATTTTTATTTTAATACAAATTCCAGCGCTCTCTCGCCTGCGTACAATTAGGAAATTCCGCTCTCTTTTGTGGTCACCTGCTCTTTCAGGGACAATGATTTTTCCGCAAAATGGTTTTTTTTTTAGGAAGAAAAATTAATTGCAAATGAAATAATTATTTTAATCCAGAATGGAATTCTCCCTGACAATGTAATAAAATAATATGGCATTCATAATTTGCGGACTGTATAAAATATTCTCCAGATACTTTTTATTATTCCAGTAAAAACTGTTGTTTGTGAATTTGGCAAGCAATAGAATTGAAAAAAATGCTGGATCAAAAAGGTAGCTAAGAAATTGGGTTTCACTCTACTATCAAATTATTTTAAGTACAATCAGATGAAATATTATAATTTTATAGCTGTTTCTTTCTCCATAAATATTAATGCGGAAAAATAAAATAAAAATTGGCTTGTTACTTTCAATAAGATTTAAAACTTAAATTATATTATTCAGATTCTGATACACAATTAAAAATTTATAAGTAATTTTCCTAAAATACTAAATATTACGCAAACAAATCTACATGAATTATTTTTGCACATTAAAAACGAGTAACAAGAGAGAAATTCGCAAAGAAATGTGTCATGGAGAACAACTCTTTCAAGTCAGTCTGCACTGTCTGCAGTTTTTAAACTGGATCTTATGTGTTTAGTTACAAAAGTTCTTGGTGTAAATCGGCAAACTTTGGCTTTATAGCTTGTCTTTAAACGGAATTTAAAGCCAATTCTTATGAATTTACGACTGGCAACTAAAAATAAGAATTCCCGAAGATGTAAAAGATTTGTGTTAACATAGAACTCCTCCCTGCACCTGCATAATACAATGTCAAATTACTTTTTAATGGCGAAAATGAATTGATTTATTAGTATCCAAGGTGGTCCACCTAATTGTGATTAGTATTGAAGACAAATTAGCACTTTGTAAAATAAAAATTGTGCATTAACGCAGGTGGGACCGTTTTTAAAGCTAAATTATGAAGTTACTTCTAATTTTGCATAATCTGCAAAGTGGCTCTCTTTTGTAATAGTTATATAAAGTTGAAAATTTCTCCACGGTTAGAAGTTTGTTTGCACTTGGTTAGGATAATGATGAGAACACACACACGCCACACACGTTAACTCGCATGCAAGGTTGTTTTTGTGACACTTTCCTCTTCTGTTCGACAAAACGGTGGGATCTTTTTAGGTGGGGCTGGCTGCTCATCCCATAGAAGATACATTACAAAAGGAATTTTTGTATGTACACAAAGTGACAGTGCAACAATTCTCGGCGGCAGCTCCTTGCCAAGAGATGAAATGCATTGTCGAGTCATTCACCAAATATACTATATCATTATAATGCAGACACAATAAACAAAAACTGCAGCAATGAATGAATGAATCGGTTTCGCCTAATCATGGTGGAAGTAAATTAATAACAAGTGTGGTACTCATGCAAACAATAAATTACTAACAGCCGTCCAATTAATCATGAAAAGAAGAAAATCGATTTGTCTCCTGCGTACTAAAGGTGAATATCCGCCGCGCGCGTGTCAAAGGTGACGTTTATTGCAAACTGACGCATCAAATTAATCGCGGCTTACGAAACTGACACCTCTCGCAAGGGCTGCTTGATGCTGATTATTGAATTGCGGCACGAGATTATATTGACAGAAACGCTCTATGCGGATAAACCGCCTGGGGAGCCGCAAATATATAGAGAGATGCATTAATGGGTCAAGCATCGAACGGTGCGTGAGAAACCTTGAAATGCATCTCGACTAGCGCTCTTCGAAGAGCCTAATTTTGCAATTTTTATATTTCTCATGACCATAATCTTGCAAATCAGAGTTAACTAATCGAATTGGTTATTTGCAGCGAGACTAACACTGAGTTACAAGTAATTCATGATATTATTCAATTATAAAAAAACTAAAATCATAATAATTGAACTTAAATTTGAACTTTTATAATGAATTAAAGTTTTTTTGCTGAGCAATTATTTATTAGAAAACAAAATTTATTAAAAATAAAAATAACAAGCATTTTACTGTTTATAAACTTATTCTAATTTTTATAAATTTTTGCTTCCATAGAAAATACCATATAATTTTTAAATTTATTGTAAGTTTCAACAAATTAAAAAAATTGAACATGTTTTTTTGCATCAGTTTTCTATCAACTAACATACAAAAAAACCTTACAAGGATTTTGTAACTTGTATGGTCAGTGTTACGTGAAATTTTAATATACAGCTTTCAAAGCTCTCAGCATCCAATTATTTTGCAAATTCAGAACGGTGCCTAGCTGCGTTACACTACTTTTAAGTTTTTGGACAGCACATAATATGCCGCAATACGGAAATGTGATTAAAGTATATTTTAACTCACACAGAGCTAGGGTTTAAAAATTTACGCTATTGCTTTTGCAAAACCGACATGGTGCTGCTTTTTCACGAGGGTCTATCTCTCCGAGCTAAAAACTACTCCACCAAGCGACCATAAAACAGAGACCACCGCAGGAATCGATATATAAAAACTGCAGTCCCTTTTCTTCCATATTGTTTTGACAAACGAAATTCAGATTCAAAAGATCCCATAAATCTTCATCTGCGTGTACGGCATATATAGCCACGGGGTTGAAAAGACTAAAGTTTTGCCGCAGAGAAAGAATTCCGTCCCAAGAAAGAAAGAAAGAAAAAGATATGGAAGGAAGAAAGGCGGGTCTCGCGGTGGCGCACGCACAATGTGTGCACCTCATCTAGCCAGGGCTGAATAATGCATAATATTATCCCAGTTTGCGGTGGTGCGCTCGGGCGCCATAAATGTTCAATATTATCTTTTTGATCTGGCCTTGCTTGAATAATTAAGGATGCGGGTTGAAAAGGGTATCGTCGTGCAGATGGCTGCATAGTAGGAATAATTTTGTCTTAAGAAGCTATTTTTTTTAATAAAGCAGGGGAATAAAATAATTCCTCATTCTTTGAAAAAAATATACCATTAATATAAAAGGCTAGAAATATTTTCTTTGATTATTTTAAACAGAAATTAAATAAATTGTATTTAGTTTCTTTTTCCTAAAGCACCACTCTATATTTACATTAAAGTTAACTATGTTATAAGTGAAGTTAATTTTGAAACTGAAATAGAAATTCAATACAAATTTTTATACCTCTTAACAATAAGTGCTAAAAAGTTTGCAGATAACAGAAGTTTTTTAGGATAAAATCATCATAAAAATCGTTTTTATCAAAGGCAGTGAAAGTAAGAGGATATTTGAATTTAGATTAGCTATATGTTTTATATAAAGAAACTGAATTTTCAGCCATTCAAAGGTGTACTTAAAATTTAAGTCTATGTTTTTCTTATTAAATTCCTCTGCGTAGTTTCTACTTTGTACCAATTTAAATACAGAAACAATGTATTAAAAGTTATAGTTTTGAAAAAAGTCTTAATGTTAGTGTTAAATTACTTAATTATTCCACAAATTTGAAATAAAGTCCAAAGAATTTCTTGTTGAAAAATGTTGTATATTGGCACATATTTTTAATAAAAAATTACACAATTTTCATAGATCTAGTGAAAAATAGATTTTTAAGCAAATTAAAATAAATTTAATCACAATTGGCTTACATGCCACACCTCTAATGGCAAGTTTTAGATAGAACAAAATATAAAAGTAAATAATTTCAAATAAAATTAAAATTTTTGACAATACCACCAGGCCAGCCGCTGAGAATGCAGAGCATCCAAATTCCGAATCCGTGTGGCGGGTCCATCTCGAACCGTTCACAGAAACACAAAATCCAACTACACAAAACACTCGGAGCAGCAAGGTGCTCCTCCCGAGGAGAGAGTAGTACGGCACTGAAATATCAAAGAAACGCACCTCGCGTTGCCGAAAAGCAGGACCACTTTCCCCTCTACAAACTCACGTATAATCTCGCGGCATTGCATGTGCTTGGCTGCTGACCGCTCTTGTCTCTTTTCGGAGATCGCGTATGTTACCAGTTTTTTCTTCCTCACGATCGCCCGCCCGGACGCCTCAGGGTTGCGCTCGAAATTTCTCCACGCCATCACGCCGACAACTGTCCGATGCACTTCGTTCGACTAACACGGACAGGCTTGACGTGAGAAATTTTATTTGCACGCAGTGGCTAATTTTTCACTCGAATTACTTTTTGATGTGAGCAAGAGCATTTTGTAATAATAATATAATCCAACGTTAGTCGTACATTGAAAGTTTATTTTCTAAACAAATAAAAGTAGTAGAAAAAAAATTTAAATTTACAAATATATTTTACCTGATAATATTCTAATTATTTTATTCCTTATTATTTTATTAAGCTTTATCTTTAAATATTTTTTTCATATAAATTAAGTAATTTTGTATTTAAATTATTAAAAAATATGTAGCAAATCGTAGTAATTATTTTTTAGTAAATTGATACATTAGTTCCAATACAAAATTAAGATTCATTAGTTATAAATTTACCTCATTGTGTGACATGTGTGAAGAGATATTCAAAAATTATGCTTGTTTAATGATGGTTGCCATACTCTCGCGTGAGTTTAATAATTAATTATATGCTGAGAAATTAACAATCCTATATATTAACAAAAAAAATGCCTAAATGACAAATTGAAAGTCATATATAAACATTTTTGCTCTGATTTTGTAGAGTAGAATAAGCTGGGAAGAAGTTCATAATATGGAAGTAAAAAATTGTGTGAATTAGTTTGTTTCTTCCGGTTTTTTCAGTTGTTTCCCGTAGTTTAGGCTGCAGTGCGGCGAGTAATTGCGCATTTATCGCCTCTTGGCAATTACTTGGTTATGAGTTTCAGTAAGTTGTTCACTATAGCACTGTGTGCCTATTTTTCTCCAACCAATTTTTCATAATTTGGAGAAAAATGAAATGAATTAAATTTACTACATCGTTTAAAAAGAGAAAATGCTAATTGCAAAAATTTGCAGAAAAAAAACTGAAATAGTCAATGGGCTGTAATATAATATTATTTTGTCTGATGTTGGAAAATGCATGAAATTTTAGATTACTCTTGTATGTAAGATCAAAATCATTAAAAGTTGAATAATATAACAAAGGGGCAAACAACTTAGAGAATGTGATTTGTGTAACGTAAGAGATTTTTGCAACAGGCGGAGCCTTGAGAAATTCATATTTCCACTGAAATGCGTCAAATGACTGCTGAGGCAAATAAAAATTCCGCCTGAATATGCAAAACGGAAATTTTGCAAGTAAATTGCACAATTTCAAAGCACGAGATAAAATATTAATTGAAGCAAAACTTGTGTTGCGTGTGCGTCATTTACTGACCGAGCGTTTAATTAGCAAAGTGCACAGCGGCGAATCAACTTTCGGGCGAGGCTCTGCTGTTTGCATGCCGCGCTCGAAAATTAAATCAGCCGATCTGAGCGTTTATTGGAGCGACGGCAAAAGCAATTCGTTTTTTATTTTAATGAGAGGAGGCAGAAAACTTTCGCTGATTGAATTTTGCGGAGAGATTATTTGTTACGTCATCTGGAGAGTGAAGCATCTCGTGATGTATGAAGAGAACCGGCCAACGTTTGATTGCCCATTGCCTGCTTTTTATTGCCCACGCTGCAATTGGAGAAGCGAACCAAGTAAAAGCTTATTTGGCTGTGCGAATCAATTTTATACGAACGGCCAAGTTTGTGCAATGAAATCGGACGAGTGGCTGTTGAAAATTTCAAAACTTTTATTTATAAACAGAGTGGATGTTGTGCTCGACTGAAAACATCCTGTTTCTCTCGTTTTTTTCGTTCTCTTTTTTACATACATATGCAGAGTTTACAACAATGCGTGTAGAGAGACCTTTTGTTTACGTGTTCTTTTCAATCCGGCAGTTGCGAATTGTTAATAATTAAAATTACGGTCTCCTGAGCTTTTAATATTGTGCTGGCGTCGCCGCACAAATGTAATTTGGAGGTTTATTAATTTTTGGGACGCCTGCTCTTGTTCATGTTGATGAAAATGAGATTCCATTCGCATATTGCAGAGCGTCACGCCATTTAAAATTTTCATCAAAATTTTAATTAAAGTGACGCATACCTGCTCTGCTGCTTTTGGTCGAAAAAAATTGCACATCCAGCGATAATGACACATATGCAAATTTTAATTTCGGGGCTTGTATAACGTGGAATTTTGGTTTGGCCGAATAAAAACAGTCAATTCATGACATCTAAAATAATTAATCAAGCCATCTAAAATTTTAATCTGGGGTGGCTTAAATATTCCGAGCGTCAGAATTTTTTACGCCAAAAGCCTAAAAAAGTTGAAGAAAAAGAAAAAGTAGAAGCAATTTAGTTTTTAATTTAATTTGCATAAGAATTAAAAAATATGTGAGATGTAAACAACTTTTAATAATTGGTGTGGGCAGTTCAGTTCAGCGTCCGCATCTTCTTGACGTCATGCGTGACCTGTACTACTTGAACACTCTTGCTTCACATATTTCAATGTTTATAATTATTGTAATTTTTTTGTTCTCAGGGCATTAAAAAACAACATAAATATTTTGGGAAAGAAATATTTTGTTAAGTTATAAACTTATTTTTAGTCAAGTCAAGGTTTTGTATAAAAAATGAACAAACAAAAATCAAACAGATCAACTAGTTATTGCTGGTTATTTTAAGTAATTTGCTTTTTGCTCATAAAATAGACCACAGTCATGCTCTTAAATTTTTCACTTGATTTCAGATAACAATTATCAATTTTGAAGCCAAACTGTTTTGTCGATTTAAAAAAAAAATTAAATAAATAAACCATAATATAGAATATTATAATTAATTTGTTGCTTTTCAGAAGATTAGAAATTAATGATAATTGGTGAAAAATAATGCTTCATTTAAAATACGAATGAATTTAGAAATATAATCTACAGGACAAATGAAAAAAAAGTTTGCAATCGCCACTAATCAATTTGTCTAGCGGCAAATGAGCGCACCGAGCGGAATGTTATTTTCAGTGCGCAGCTTAGGAGCGGAATTCACACACCATGCAAATGGTAATTAGGCTAGGCCTCCTCCCTCCTCTCTCTCCCAAAAGTGGCTCAATTAAGGCGGATTTAAGGCTTAAAATAATGCATGGGCCAAAGTTTGAGTAGCACAGCAGCGTGTGTGTCGCACAGAAGCCAAATTCAGCAGTTTTGCGCGTCGCTCGCGCGGCGGTGCCATTCATTAATTTTTGCGGTGCCTAAAACTCACGGCCCAACGCACACCAGAGTAAAGGCGCTAATTAATAATTTAGAAAACAAACAAAACGAACCGGCTGTTCTTTCTCTTAAAAAGTACGGTGCGCGCACGGCTCAATTATTCAAATGGCGCTCCGCGATTTGCATTAGGCCGCCGCCGGACGTTGGATCAGTGAAAGTTTAATCCGCGGGCCTGGGCGGCCCCCCTGCGCTTTCAAAGGTCGTGCATGTGTGTGAAATATATTCGGGAGCAAATAGTAATTTCACTTCTCTCTCACCGAAAGGCGCGATTATTGCAGAAAATTCCGAATATCCGCTCCGAGGTGCTCGCAAAAGTTTGGTGTGATCACCGGCATGAATAATAATTTCGTGCGCTGCTGGAGAAGCAACTGCCCGCGGGCTTTAGGAGTTTGTGCAGAAAGGCCTCTCTATCTATCTTTCCCGAAGCGCTGCAGCTTTATAGCGCTCCGAAAGATCTCTCATCTGCACAGCAGAAGTGTTGTTTTATTCAAATATGGACAAAGGCGCACTGCTCAATCTGCAGCCAAGTGTGTGTTATGTAACTGCGTGCGTGACCTGATCGTGAAAACATAAAATACAGCTGAGCAATGCTGACAGTCCGAAATCACGCCGGAACGAATGAAAAGGAAAAAATAATTATGTAATGTTATGTGAATGTATTAAATTATTTCAAGTTTTTAGTTTTTATTCTATGAATATTTAAAAAAATGAAGAAAAAAATTGTTCAGATAAATACTCTTTTTCATAATCCGTAGCATCTGTACTAAAAAAATTTATTTTAAGCAAAACATGTATCAAAATCCCAAAAGCGTAATCACTTTAATATCAAAGAAGCGTTAAATAATCAAGTGTCTCTGTTTAAAAATATTATTTTTATCAACGTTCACGCCAGTTTGCTAATCATGACAAAAATGAACCACATAATTTGATTGTTAAACCCAAACGCAACAATAGATTTTCTCTCATTTTTGTGGTGCGTGAACCTTCACTTGTAATCTACTGAAAAAAATGACAAAATTAGCGAAATGTGATAGATGAAGATTGGTGAATTGAATTTTAAGTCAGCTTAATTTTTCCTTGATGACTTTGTTTAGGCGTTTCATAGAATTGCTCAGTGATACACAAATAAACTTTTGTGATAAGGAACTCTGATATTGAATTAAATTCACCAGGAAATGACCGCTCTATAGCATCGCGTTCTTGACAAAATAATTTAATTTACACGGATTATTTTAATATAAAAATAAAAACTGCATTAGCTTTTTAGATTTTATAATATTTTATTTACGCCTCATGGTTGTCCGAGTTTAAAAAATGGGGCAAAAGGTTTTGAACCATAATGTAAAATTATTATTTAAATTTAAATTCTACAATAATTGTTAAGAGTCTTGAACATTGATTGCATTTCATGCCTGCTATTTTGCGGAGCTCTAAGCAATGGAAATAGGAAGAAATTTTTCCTATTTTTAAATGCAACAACAATTTTGAATTAAGAAGGGGTAAGTAACAGCATCTGTGTTAATTAAACTTTCGTTAAAAATTTAAAAAAAAAAATAGGATATTTTGAGAGTGGGGATATATTAAATAGAGGCAAAGACTGTAAAAATATAATTAAAAAAATTTAAATT